CTCCTCCTCCTCCTCAACCTCACCGTCCTCCTCCTCCTCTTCGTCTTGTACGACTTGCACGCTCCAACTGATAACGAAGCTGGTAGATGCTCCTCCGAGTGGCCCGCCTAACACCTCTCAAGGTACGCAAGACCGTCGGAGGGAACAATTTCCCAGCTTTCGTTCTTCTCCTCCTCCTTTCTTCCTAGCGTGCAGTGCATATCGTCGCCAAAGTTCGGCGTCCAAAATCCCCACAATATATACAAATATAGAGCAAGCTCCTCCTATACTGGTGCTTTAAATAGCACTCTTATCCCAGTCCTTGATTGTTATGAAGGAAGCCTTGTGATCTGAGAAGTGGCAGGATATGTGTTCCAGGTGATGGACCAAAGGCTGATTTTGAAAGACGAGGTCTATGCACGTGTTTCGAGAGGTCGTCACAGCGGTGTGAGCTGTTACGAGGGAGAGAAATGGGAGGTTTTCCTGCATAAGTGGTATGAAGTTCTTATCCTTCTTTAAGTCTGCATTAAAGTCCCCCACTACTAACATGGGTGTGGACCCACGTGTGCTTAACGCAAGTCGCAGAAAATGCACGATATCTTTGGTGAGTGCTGTAGGCGAGATATACAGAGCCACCACTACCAAGCCGTTGTCGAACTTGGCGCCACAAAGTTCTCCAACTTCGTCTGACGTTCCAAATATCTCGATGGGTACGGCAGACAGACCCTTACGCACGTAGATGGCCACCCCTGCCGCTCTGTTGTGCTCTCTACTGACGCCGCAGCAGTACTGGTAGTCCATGATTTCTACCGCCTGTTTTGGATCCATTCACGTTTCCGAGAGGCAAAGTACAGATGCATGGCGTAGGACGGGGTCGTGGTGCACGTCCTTGGAATGCGCCGGCAGAGAACGAACATTAAGTGCGGCGACCGAGAACAAGTGCGGTTGCTTAATCATTGCGTAGCACTTAGCAGTGACAGTTTGGAGTTTGTGTGACTGCAGTCGACGAAACTCATCAAGTAGTACCCTGTCGGGATTGGGCTTGCGGTGGTAGAACGTAAAGTCATTGTCCACATTGGTGAGGTAGAGCCCGTTGATGTCTGTAGCACGACTCAGTGCCACGTATACCAATTTCTGTGGATGACTTTTGGCATACGAGTACACCACGTTTTCATACGTGCCTCCCTGTGATTTGTGAATGGTGATAGCACTTGCTTGCACAACGGGTAGCTGGCATCTCCTCAGGGATATCCTTGACTTCTTATCAATGACGCAAGTGACTGTGCGTCTTTCGATAGGTGTCCAATTTTGCTGAATATTTCTGTCGAGTGCCCGTAACTGCCGGGATTTTGCGGCCGCCACGGTTCCAATCGCAATTTTGGAACCAAGCTCACCGAAATGCAGCCAGATGCGTTCCGGCTCTCGGAGCGTATCGTATTGTATGTACTGCAGTATTCCAACAGAGCCATTGACCAGACCATCGGAAACATCGACATTGAGTGTGAGCATATATGGTTTTCCAATGCATAGCATTATATTAGCTGGCAGGTTTCCGAGTTCGGCCTTGGGCAGCGTTTCGGCCTTGCGCATTGCCTCTGTCTTTTCCTGCATAGACCTGAATCCAACGATTGTGTCCCGTGCCGGACAAGCCACACAATTATCTTCGGTTGCAATGGCCGTGTTCGTATTGTAGTAGTCCGATTCCTTGTTGGAGTAGTACAAGCGGATGCCACCGGGACAACACGTTTCTGCTTGTTGTTGCGTGACGAACCGACTCTGGATCAATGCGATTTCTTCGGAATCCAATTCTGCACCGTCTCCAATTTTGGTAAGTATGGTGGAAAACCTGAGATCGCTTTGCCTTACGACCTTCGTGAGGACAAAGTATGACAAATGGTGCCATGCGATTTCCGTGTTAAACACACTGGTCGTCTTGACGTGCTTGAAAACCTCGGCGGCACGAACGGGGGGAAGCTGGCGCAGGTCTCCGCAGAGGATGATGTCTAACCCGCCGAAAGGCTCTAGATATTTGCAAGTGATGATGCGGAGTCGCGAGTCCACTTTCTGAAGGATGTCGGCGGACATCATGCTAACCTCATCGATAATCACGCACCTGACGTTCCTGAACGCATAGCGGAACGTGTTCAACTCGTTGTCCCGGAGTCCGCCATCCCTATTGATGGTAAGTCTGAACGCTGCATGTACAGTTATTCCACCAAGCGCGACCGCCGCTTTTCCAGTTGTAGCACAGGCAACATAGGCGTTTACATTATCTGAACCAGCAGGGTTGCAATATCTGTTGTAGACGTCCATGATGAGACGCAGTACAAATGTCTTCCCACATCCAGCCACTCCCGTGAAGAAGATTTGTAGTGGCGGAGAGTCCGGTATAGTGAGTCTATGCACGACTTCTCGGACGATCTCGTACTGCTCCTCATTCGTCTTGCGCATTGTGTCCAGGTATTGATCTCTGCTCATGACGTCTTGGCGCGTGCACACGGCGGGGCACTGCTTAAACGGGGCATTGGATTGGACCATACCGATGTCTAGGAGATCGGAGTCGTCGTTTTCCATGGCCATCGGGTGCAGTCTCACATCTGGGAGCTCAGAAGTGGCACAATGTTCCCCGTCATTTGACTGGAGCATGGAATTACAAACGGCACGAATTTGCTCAATGTCTACGTCACTGTGGTACCGTGCCTTGTTCTCTAGAATGACGTCGATGTTTTGCTCATACAGACGCTCGAAACAGTTTTGGTCTAAGATGTCAACTTCTTTGCGGAATGGATAGAAAAGCAGGACATGTTCTCGCTTGAAGTTGACTGAATCGTCTACGGAGTAACCGCGGTAGCGAAGTATCCGTCGCTGATTCCTCTTTTTGTAGGTATATATGTTGTACTCGGTAGCGAACTCTGCTAGAGTAACAGGTTCCAATTCGGGAATGCGGTCTTCGTAGCGCTCGATCATCGTCCGTTTCCATACATCAGTGCTTGATTCTACTAAGCCTTCCTGCGCCATCTGTGCGTTAGACTTCCGAATGCGCGTCCTTTCCTCGGGCCATGCAGAGTTCACGAAGACAACTTTGCGACTCGCCTCCGACATATCCTGGTTGAGCAAACACCATGCGGCCTCCTGTGCGGACAGTTCAATGGCATTCAACATTTTCACACCTAGATGTCTCAGTGCCTGAGAATAGGCCATATCCCCCTTCTCCTTGACAATTTCTTGCACTGCTCGATTGAGGTTCGACATACCTCGGTTGGCCTTGTTTACATATTCCACCACGTAGGCAGCACACGCGTACGTGTCGAGGACGATCTGAAGATCCATGTTAGAATCGAGAATTGATGCAACCCGAAGGAAAAATCCATCAATGTAACGCTGTTTGACAGTCAATGTTTTCTAGTGGACCGCTGACTGTGCCTGACTGTACGTCAAGCATGTCTGATTGGCCAACAAGTTACTCTGACCTACAGTCAAACTCCAGTCAGACTCCGCTTGTCGGCTTTCTGATGGTTTCCTTGTGGCAGTCGGCCGCCGCGAAATGCCATCAGGATGTCTTGGTGGCGATTCTGATTGTACATCGATTGTCTCTGACTGTACGTCAAAAAGCTTTGACGTGCAGACAGACCTACGGTCAAAGGAGGTAAAGTTCGTTCGGATACCACTATTTCGTCAAATATACGGATACGTAAAATCATCTATGCACGAGAAAACGATCTCGGGACGTGAGGCCATAGAACCGCTAATGTTAGAAATACGACAAGCAGGGCACCCGACAACCCTGATCAGAAGCCCGCCGATACGCAGAACGCGCCGCCGACGCCGCTTCTACTTTCGCTTCCAGGTTCGCCGAGCTTCCACGCGGTACAATCGCTCTCGACCTGTTTTGTTTGTCCGCACTACAATGTCTTACGTTTTCGTGGAATTTCTGATGGACAAGACTCAGTCTGTCGTGACTTCGGACTACATAAGGAACTTTAGCGGCGTAATTGAAGACAAGGTGTATCAAGTCTTCTGGGCCGGCGACGCTCGAACGAAAGGCGGATTTTATGACGCGAAACTACTCTACATGGCAGGTGAGTAAAATTTAAGTACGGCGATTGATGTACGAGTGCTTGGTTTAACTGCATATACAGCCGAAGAACTCTTTAGAGCGATGCACTCATTGTCAGAACCTCGCGCTGCAATACTGAAATGCTCTTGGCTCGGTCCGAGAGGTTTAGGCAAGAAAGTTTATACCTTTCTATCTGGTGTGCGCTATTGGCCTTACCGCTGTGTCGCAGCTCATTATTATTGAATTAGAACGGCGAGTTGGGCTAGTTGGTTGTACATGCTTGAAGTGAGGCGCCAAAACAACGAGGACAACTGTCTGCTTCTCTCCTTGTGTCCTCGTTGTTTTGGCGCCTCACTTCAATTATTATTATTGTTTCATGAAGTTCGCAGACAAAAAGCATCCGCGAGGGTAGTTCAGATATGTCTGCTGCTACCTTTCGTCCGTGGAAGCGAGGGCTGCCTGTCGTAGCATGCATGCCTGCTCTCTAGCTTCAACGGAGTCGCATACGTTTTGTGAATTACAGTGTATACGGTCGTCCCGAAAAGTTCAGACATCGAGGGCGTTTCTCTGAAACATGCTTTGGGTGCGCGTGGGCCCGTTTGTAAAGGAATGTCCCTTTTCCCTAAAAAACGCAAATTTCGAAAGTGAAAAAAAAAAAAGAGATAAGGACGGGTACACACTTTTCAGATTTTTGGTGTCATGAATTACATTCACTGTAAGGACTTGTGAACCGTTCCATAGCCATGCAAGATTGCCACTTTGGCTTGTGAACCGTTTCATAGCCATCCAAGATGGCCATCTCGGAATGCAAGCTTTTATATAAAATGCTCCTTTGTTGATGAAATTCCCTTGTTAGAATTTAATATGAACACCTGTCACCATTGCTGAGAAACCCTCAGCACCGGCATAAGGTTCCAAATTATTATAGCATTTTTGAACTTCTGCATTGGAAATGACGCAATAACATTGGTCAAGTGTTGTATATTTTATTCGAAATTGAGCATGCGGTAATGGCCCACAATGTAATATAAGATTGTACATTTTTCAGACTCTGAAGAAGATGTACAGAAATTTAGAACGGAGGAGAAGCGTCGTCTTTGTAAGAGATCAAGAGAAAAAAGAATGGTTTGTGCTTTTGCATTATCTCTGTATTCGAAGAAACTTGTTGTGCACTCCTGTTAGGCTGAAAACCTTTTAGTGTTGCTATAGATTCGGATACCAGCTAGGTCCATGAGTTTAAATTATATTTAAACCAATTTTTCGGTCAAAAGGCTGCGGAAAGTTTTGTAGAATTTTCCTAACCCCTTGTTTTCTGAGGTATCCCCTCTTCAATGTTTTTACACGATCTGGCAAAATAGGATGCAATGCGTCAGGGTTTACGCATCTTTTTTTGCGGGATTGTGCAGAAAGTTTGAAGAGCAATATTTCGGAACACAGCTTTTTAGGATAAAGCTACACAAAATCAAACAATTGGTAGAACACTTGTGCGTCGAAGTTTTCGATGGAAACACATACTTTTATTACGCTAATTAAACCGTCCCTTACTGAATTCTAGTTAATACTTTGTTAGGTAATCAGCGTGTTTTTTTTTCCCCCGCAATTTCTGACGTCTGTTGCGGTAAGTAATGTTATTCCAAAGGAATAATTTTTTTCTCAGTCTTTTGTTTAAAACTATTTTCACTCAGAGGTTATATTCTCTTTATATATTGTCACAAATGACAAGCGGTAAGGTGGCAATTACTGAAAGAATAAGCGTGTAATATAGAAAACTTGTGCCTGCAAGCAAAAAGGACATAACGTGCATCGGGGAAGAGTCGGTAGCGGCGTAACAGGAGGATCAGGTGCTGGCGATACACTGGCTGCATACAACCACGCAGAGGCGCCCTTTTTTAGCTGCTTGCTTTTTTGAATACTCGAACTATAGTGAGTGACAGGTCAAAAATGATCTATGACCTGGAGAGGAAGCAGCAGACAAAAGCTTGGATTGAATGGAGAGTTTTCGTCTCCACTTGCTTTGCTCTCTTTTCGCCTCTCCCCCTCGTACGCAATTCTTGAGCTGTGACTGACTATTCCATCGTAGAACATTTTTTTGCTCAAAGAAACATCAATGTTCTCGAATTTACTAGAACACATAAACTTGCAATTTAACAGAAGATTCATCTGCTCCCAGGATTCGAACCTAAGGTCTTTGCGCGAGAGCCAGACTAAAAAAAATGAAGTACTTATATTGGTACGTCACAGAAAGTGCCCATAGTATGGCGCAACCTAAGAATACAGGAGAAGCCCCTCCCACCGAACCTTACACTAGTCATGATTGGCGATTTCCTCCTCTCCAGAGTCCTTCTGCTAAAGTGGAAAGGATTGAGGGTTTCCTCACCGTTTTCTTATTCTGCAACACACTATACATACCCATTTCCCGTAACTTGTATGCAGGCAGGCATGGGTAGGTTGGTCCAAATAAGTCTGGTTGTCGCAAATGCTTGCTCAAGTCAAATTGTTTTTAAGTGCACTAACACTTAATCTAGTTAATATTTCCAATTTCTTCTCAACAATGTCTGCGACAACCCAATGAGTTAATCAAAACTGTGCTGCTCAAAGCACAGTCTTTGTGTCACGGTGAGGCAACATTTAGCACAGTGACAGTACGGACAACTTTCCTCGCCTTCCTTAAATCACAATAGAGGTAAACAAACCAACTGTTGCACCAGGTGCAAGCTCACTCTGTGATCTCAAGTGGATGATACATATCAGTGGCATACACATTTTTCAAGCATGCAGTTTGTTATCAACTGTCTGTAGTACAAATAACTACCCTTACTAAATGCATCATTCAGATAACTGTCATGGCTGATGATGGTGTTTCAACCACTTACGGTTAAAACGAAAAAATGCCTTTCCATCGAAGGAGCCGGCATCTGATGCTAATATCTAGTGTCCTTCTTTCAGCCCAAAGATCAGGAAAAGTTCAGACAGCAACTAGTTAAACGAAAGAATGACACAGACCTGGTATTTGAATTGGAGACTCAAAAACGGAGAGATGTTACAGAGGAACTGAAAGAATTGCGAAGGACCAACGCACTGCTACAGAGAGCACTTTGCTCCAAAGTGTTTGAGCTCGGTAAGCCAGCAATTTGACACATGGGATTTGTGACCGCTCTTAGTGGAATTTTGCTATTGTGAAATGTGGGTTGTGGTATTCTATTCCAAGTTAATGTATGTTCTAGAGTCAAGACTCCTGGAGCAGTGGCCTGGCAGCAGCACACCTCTATGTAAGTCGCAATGCGTAATCACAGCTTATTTTTGATAATGCGGTGGCTCAAAATTAAACGATGTACACTGTGGTATACGCTTATCTGAAATACGCAATTGGCAGTTCTGTGCAATATTCTCGTGTACGTGAAAGGCTGCTTTCACAACTATTAATGTCTTAGAAAGTGCATCTGGACAGCGTCAGATTAAGAGAGTACCTTTATTTTTGGATACTCACGAGTCAGATCCAAGAGAACGACGTTAGGCGTTCCAACTAAGCATGTCCCTGTGTGCATGCAAAAGCTCTCACAGGCTGCTTCATAATGACTTGACATTGCCCTGCATATGAGGCTACCATTTGTGTCTTCAAGAGAAGGAATGTTTCTGGTGAGAAGAAACATCTTGCTGCTGTCTTGTGTGCAAAGGGTCATCAACTAGTGGTGCTGCATGTACAGAAAGACCCAGTCGGTGTGAATGGGCAATGATATATTGGATGCAGCGGTCATGCATAGTTTGCAGCCCATTTTGGTTAAGACTACATTATATTATTCGGGGCCAATAGAACTTTAGTTTATTCCCAGGCTATAAATTAGGTTACTCTAGAGTTCGGGGAAAGTAGGCTCATGCCCGAAACAGATTCAGTAGCACACTTTTTGTGGGTCTTCCATATTGTGGCAGAATTTACTGCTCCTGCATCAAGTCAGTGTTTGTTTTATTTCTCGGTAACACTATATGTCTACACACTTTGCATACATTTTCTGTGTCCTTCAGCGCATCTGACTGCCACTTCAAGTGCCATGTTGCCCGAATCTCCAGAAAATGAACACCTTGAAACTGGTACGTACCACTTTAGAAGAGAATGGTCTTTTGTAGTTAATTGCAAGAGATAGTACCTTTCTTCCATCCATTACCTTGTTCATTTGATTGTGTTTCAATAAGATCTTAAACATCAAGCACAGGAGAAGAGAATGGTCTTTCGTAAATTGCAAGAGATAGTACCTTTCTTCCATCCATTACCTTGTTCATTTGATTGTGTTTCAATAAGATTTTAAACGTCATGGACAGTAAGTTGTGTTCACAAACAAACTGTATGTCTTAGCAAAAAAAAGAATTAATACATTTGCTGCTGTTTCAAACAGTTTCACCAAAGAAAAATACGTTGACCAGTTATATAATGCCCGTGGTATGATGCACAGTTAACAACAACAAAAAAGTTAAAGGGGATGTCAAGAGACCTACATAACAGCTTGCTGCTGCCTTGTGTGCAAAGAGTCGTCAACGAGTGGTGCTGCATATACTGAAAGACCCAGTCGGTGTGAATGGGCAATGACATATTGGATGCAGCGGTCATGCATAGTTCGCAGCCCATTTTGGTTAAGACTAGATTACTTTATTCGGGGGCAATAGAACTTTAGTGTATTCTCAGGCTATAAATTAGGTCACTCAAGAGTTCGGGGAAAGTAGGCTCATGCCCAAAACAGAATCAGTGGCACACTTTTAGTAGGTCTTCCATATTGTGGCACAATTTACTACTACTGCATCAAGTCAGTGTTTGTTTTATTTCTTGGTAACACTATATGTCTACACCCTTTGCATACATTTTCTGTTTCCTTCAGCGCATCTGACTGCCACTTCAAGTGCCATGTTGCCCGAATCTCCAGAAAATGAACACCTTGAAGCTGGTACGTACCACTTTAGAAGAGAATGGTCTTTTGTAGTTAATTGCAAGAGATAGTACCTTTCTTCCATCCATTACCTTGTTAATTTGATCTTGTTTCAATAAGATCTTGAACATCATGAAGAGTAAGTTGTATTCACCAACAAATTGTACATCTTAGCAAAAAAAAAAGTAATACATTTGTTGCAGTTTTAGACAGTTTCATCAAAGAAAAATGCATTGGCCAGTTCTGTTACATAATGTCTATGGTATGATGCACAGTCAATAACAACCAAAAAGTTAAAGGGGACGACAAGAGACCTACAGTGAGGGCAACGAAAGTATCACATATGGCTCCGCAAGGCTATCACACTGCCCCGCAACTATACAAAGCACTTGCCATTGCAAAGAGAAATTTTCACACAAACTGGTGTCCTTTAAAAAAAAAACAAATCGAACCTGTTGAGAGGAGCCGTGCACGGAATCCTTTCTAGGATGCATGACTGCAAGCTCACATGCGACATATTTGCTTGCCTGGCTGCCAATCAGTTGTCTGTTATCTGGTATGTGATCTCCTGTAGATCACACAGATTACTCTCACAATATGGAAAGCAGGAAAATTCCACCCTGTCCTGGGGTTTAGCGCAGGGATAGTTTCTATCATGGCAAGTATTCCGCCAACCGAATGATCTATTCTGGTGTTTGCCATTTATAGAACGAGCAGAGTTTCTCAACATTACAGATATGACTTCTATAACCGGCCTTAGGAGCAATGAGTTTGGTAGTGACATGAGGATTTAATGAACAACTGTTAAGAATGTCCCCAATTTAGGAAGTTAGACAAAAAGAATGCGGTGGTACTTTCTATAAAAAATGGAAACTAAAATGGCTGAACACAGAGCGGGGCACTTTCTACGAAAGAAAATAAATGTTTGATTGTTTCCTATATGTGATGTCTCCATCAAAATTTCATTTGAATTATCAGTCACATGCTCTTACCGTGAATGTGTGTTACCACGGGATTGCTTCGCAGGTGAAGATTGCAGCACTTCTTATGAAGCCTGTGGACAAGGATCGAAAAGCCCCTGCAATGATGCTTTTGTGGCCACTGCTTCAGACCAAGGTGAAGTGCCCAGTCGTATTGCAGTGATGTGATTGCTGCGCCAAACTGCTTACCCTGCTACATTCTACCAAAATGTGAGGAATTTGCGCCAACGTATACTGAAAAGATTATAGCTGCAGGCCTCACTTCTGGGTCTGATTGTTAGGGTAGGCTTGTGCGGGTTTTCAGGACTTTCGATAATTGCCTTGAATAATGTACTGTTCGATTGGATTTTGCAACAAGCACTGACAGTACTCTGAAGTTTTGCAACAAGTCTTGTGGTCTGTTATGGTGGGTTAGTTAGCTTTGTTGAGTGCACTTCTCCCCGCATATCGGTGTACTGCAGTGAAGCGACAATTGCAAACTAAGCGTCGTGACGTTGCGTGTCTTGCTTTGCCGTACTTCTCCAGAGCGAGACGTGGTGCAAGAAGGTATATATGGACCCTTTTGTAGGTTTATCTTTTATGCTTTGTTTTTTGTCTGAATTAAGAGTTGCAGCTTTGTTACAACCCCCCTCCCCCTAGAACTTGAAGGACCCATAAATCTATGTGCTGAAAATGATTGTTTCTTGACATTTGTTCAGTATGATTTCATACCTTAAATAATCATTCACGGCAGTTTGCGCTGTCCTTCATCGGTTGTCTTGTTACCGTGTCTGGTGCTTCCACACACAACTAAACAGCTAATGTTTGTTCTCCTAATATTTGCAGTCTTTCCTCCTCACCGTATGCAGTAATATAAATGAAAATAAAGTGTGCAATTTTACTCCACAAGCTCTTTTTGCTTCTCCAAAATGAACTCTTGGCTGCTCTAATAGCTGCTCCAAAATGACTAGGACCAATCGCATCACTGTATTGTAATAGAAGCGTGTAATGCTTAATTGTGCATGTATTATTTTATTACAGAGAGAAACTCAAACGATTACCATGGTGAGCAAAAAACAGCGGTGGGTCAACAAAGAGAGGATGGCAAGGTAAGCTATATCCTTGCAGAAACATGCCTCAATTTTCTGAACATCACAAACCTATGCAATCCTTGCAATTGGTCTGGCGTTTCAGGTGTGCGCAGGTCAAAACGTGTGGATTGACATGGAAACCTGGGAGTCCCTAATGGAGCAAGAGACAGACTCCAAGTTCTGCAGACTGGCCGCAGTCTCACTCTGGCCAGCCGACGTCCTTGCCAAGAGGAGCGTAACAGGCACGCTCCCCAACTCAGTGCTCTTCCGAGGCTATCATGATCCATTTCCAGCACTCACTCCAGCGAAACTGAGGGCATTCAAAGGTACTCATGATTTTATTTAAGCATTCCAGTTATAGTCCATTTACTGTTAACTCTGTCTGGAGGCCAAACCCACAAACTTTTCGGGCCAATCCCGTTGCTCTGAGGTGACACATGGATCACACCAGCTCACTGTCCTGCTGCATTATCGCCAGCCTGGCGAGCTTGCAAAGTTCTACCTATGCCACTATTTTTAATTTTTAGCAGAATATTTATATATTTCTGTGATAGCACTATCTGATATTCAGAACTGTTTCAAATTTGTGCTGGAATACCAAGTTTGGAATCAGGGAAGCCTCGTAAAGTTGAGTTCAGGCCGGCAGAAACTCTGTAGCAGACAGCAAGGTTGTCTGCCTCAGCTGGTAGTAGTGCATAGCACGGGAAGGTGGTGAGAGAAGAGGTGATGGATGCAATCGGTGATACGGAGCATGTCGGACGGTGAACGTGTTGGAATACCAAGAAAAGGGACAATGAATAAACATTCGTTACATTTTATAGGTGTTCATATAAAATGCAGTGGCTTTTGATTTGTATCTGAATACCTCCCATCAATACAACTGGGTGTTTTTTCTTGCAGAACTGTTTGGTCACTACCTTGACAAGCGCGGTGCTAAAGACAAGGAAAAAAAGGGTAGGCTCAAGAAGTTGCGGGTGCACCTTTCGCGCAAGATATCCGACCTCAGGCGCCCAAAGTCCCAAAGGAACATCTTTCCACCAGCTGATGCTAAACAAAGCACTGAATGACACTTGAAGGTGCTTCGAAAAGAACTGTGCGCTTTATCCAACCTTGTGAAGCCATTATTTTTTAAGGTTTATGTTGCCTACAGAATCACTTTTTTTTTGTGTTGCATTTTTACATTGAGTGATTGACTGGTTTTGCTCCTGCGTGAAAATATTTTTAAATCAAAATGTTCTGGAAAAACTAAGTTTTAAAACAGATGTGTATGTTTTTGTGAGCTTTAGTCACATTCCAGGGGCCCTAATCTGGACAGTTGGCGAGAAAGTCGGCGAGAAATCCGGCGGCTATGATTGGCCGGCGCCAAAGTCAAGTGCGGCGACGGCCAATCACGGTCTCCAGATTTCTCGCCGACTTTTTCTCCAAGTGTCCAGATTAGGGCCCTAAGAGGAGCTTGTTTGATTTTGGTGTTGTTTTTCTGCTGTTCTAGTCACTCTAGCTTGTGAACAAAACCAACGATCCTTCAGGAGCGCGTGGCATTGGACTGCCTGTATGCCGCAGCACAGAGGCAAGATATCACTTGCACCGAGCATCTGCCAGCTCCGAGAGTGTAGGGCTACCACAGCCTAGCTTCTCGTCCTGCCTATTGTCACCGCTTTGATGCTGCTGTGGTGTTTGCGCCAAAGCAGTGATAACATAAAGCTTAAGCAGCCGGATGTTGGCCACCCTTAAAGAAATGGCAAATGCTCAGGGCAAATGTTTTCTCTTCGTTGTGCTGTGGCACGTGCTTCGTCCGAAACCACTCCCTCCTGTGGCTTCATTAGCTTTGTCTGACACTGTGCTTGATGTTAAATCTTTTCATTATCTGAATTTTTTTTTCTCCGATAGGCTCAATCAACTGGAGCATTGACTGTCAAAGTTTGGTTTGTCCCATAAAACATGAGTACAAGTAGCTTGTTTGAGCAACACTGTTGCTTTCAGTGTTTGCTTGTTTATTTCCAGTTTTAATCGAAACTCTCATAACTACATAAAAGGACTTCAAGCCTTGCATACATTCTAGTAGGAAGTAGTTCAGTCTAAGAACAAAGACATGTTCTCGTGTTTCAGTTCAGAGGAATAAAGATTTTTAAGCAAAACAAAACAGTGTAGTATCTCTTGTAACAGCTGAAGCTCTTTTATGATAACTGCTCATTAAATCTAAAGTTCTGTTTTCTTGAAGCCAAATGCATGGGAATTGAAAGTCGAGAGATTAACAGGAATGTTTGCTTAACAGATGAGCATTGCTCCCTGTACCACGGCCCTTCGTACAGTGGTTTTCTCGCATTAGTGTGATACTTGTGGAAATCGTGCACATTCAGATATCTACTGGAATTTCAGCAATAATTGCCTTGTTCCAGTTTCTGGATATGGCTCTTATATTAAAGACAATATTCATAAATTAGCTCTAGCTTGCTAGTCCTTCATATCTGTTTGGAATTTCAAGCAGAAAAGTTTTTTGACCTTGCTGGGCCATGACACATTGAGCAGATACATCATCTGCAAAATAAAGTACAAGGTTTTCAAAACCTGGTGGACAAGCAAATTCTACGATATAGCTTGCACTTCCCAAGCCTTCAGTTATGACAACGAGCTCTGTGCAAAGTAATGCAAGCTCCCGAGTTTCTTGTCCTAGTGAGAGGATCTTTCGAATTGCACAGTATGTGCCATCCTTCATTTTCAAGTAGCACGAACATGTCTTCTGGGCACGACCATAGCTTGTTCTACTGAACACAACACCATTAATCTGGGCTCGTTCATATGAAGTCGTTCGTGGCAAGAAGCCAAATCTTTCAGAGAGCAGGTTTAAGTGGTTTTCAGGTAGGTCTTCAATTTGTGATGTGCCTAGTGGTTTTGTTCCTCGCACTTCCTTTCGTGTGTGCAACATCTGCCGACAGAGAGTTTTAAGGCGGGAGGCAGCGTAATCGCTTCTTTGAGATATCCCAGTGTTGCGTGCATTACACATCGTTCTCCAATTTGATACGGCACATACCTGGAAGCACTTATTTGACGCAGAATACTTCCAATCTTGTTCTCGTACGGGAAAGTAGAGGTCCCCCAGAGAGGGCCCAGCATTTGGACACTTTTGGGGAGATGCAACAGAATGTGCACATTGAATGTAGCTGCTGGTTCTTTGTAAAGCAAAGCACATTTCCTTACGAATTCTGTGAGCAAACCCTCACTGGCATGTACATCTTGTTCTGTTACAGCTTCTTTTAGTAACAAAAACACTGCTTGGGATAGCATAGAAAAGTGTCTGAAAAACTGGGGAGGTAGAATGTCTGACAAGCAAGGCAAAGCATAAAAAAGAAGGAACGCTTTCCACTCGCTTGCTTTCCACAATGCTCGCTCGGTTAGAGGGCGGGGGAGGCGGGGAAATCCAATGGGTGGTCTGATCTTGCAGATGCGAGCATTGATCTCTCTTATCTGGGCTCCGATATAGAAAGGTCCAGTGGTGCAGGTTAGCCACAGCTCTGTTAGTTGCCTTGTCACACCTTCCAGTACAGCATGCATATAATCGGGCGAAAATCCCCACACAAGATCCATTCCCTTCAGTTGAATTAAGGGTGTCGGGCCATTGATTCCATTGACCACCCTACTCTGCGTGCAGGCTTCTATCATGTTGTCGCATACATCTTGATGTGACCGTTCTTGCGCAGGACCGCTGTAGGGAAATTTCACCGTACCTGAAATTCAAAGTGAAGTTAACCCGTTAACTTCAGCACCTATACATGAGGATAACGTTTTGTAGCAGTGCAGTGGAAAGTGGACAGGTGATTAGGGGGAATTGGTGGCCGAGTGGCCTAAAGCGCACAGCCAGCTCGACTTGCAGGGAGTGAAATCTCACGCTGCAGAACCGAGGAACCCTTGGTCCGAGCCCGACCCCTGCCTGTTTTGATCTGGATGGGCATCACGCCGGCATGTGGTTGTGTATCACTACTGCAATCGTACTGCACTGGCAAAATTGCTCACCTACAGCGTGAACCAGTGTCACATCATACTGGCAGACCCAGGGCCGTATATGCAGAGAGTTTGGCCATTCGTTGGGAAGTATAGGAGACAAATGAGGAGCCGCCATTAGCGGAAAGCGGGCTGGGCGTGTTCTAGGGCGTCTTCATAAATTCGAATGTGGCCAACCAGAAGCCGGCAATAATATTCTGGCGGTGGTCGCTACAAACAAACTTGGTAAGTGCATCGGAGTAACTCTTGGTGACTAAAAATATGGTGCACGTGATGTTTCAATCACGGTCATCGAAACTCGTGGAAGAGAGCGACTAGTGGAACAATCGACATAATCGGTACGTCAAGCACCGAGGGCCGGGAATCTGCCGTCCGAGCGGTCAAACTCTGTCCGAGCAAAACAAAGTTGAGCGGCGCATTCGTTTCTTACATCTTTCTGCATGATCATGATAGAAACATCACGCGCACCCTATTTTCAACCACAAAAGGTTACTGCACGTTACTGTTACGCACTTATTAAAACCATATAGAAACATATACCTTTGATTAAAACAGTTAATTGCTACCACTGCTAGGGGATTCTTTTAGGCTTCTAGGTGGCCAAGAAAGCATGCCAAGCCCCACTTTCTGCATCTGGTGCATGCCCTGGCTCTGCCAGCGCCTCCCATTGACCAAACTCTCTGTATACACGGCTCTGGGTGGGACAACCTTAAGCTGTATAAACACGAACGTCCAATTTGACTTTTTACAGCGGAGCTGTTAAGGGCTAGTTTCCTCAGTATGGTTTTCGCGGGCAAACAAATGTTGACACAATACTCCGGACAGCTACCGCCATCTATAAGCAGCTGCGGCAACCAACAACCGGCTTGCCTGTTGTCTGGATGCCGCTTTAGTCATAGATGGTGTCAACCTTTCCAGCCTTTCCCCTCTGCCTTGCCGACATGCAGCCGGCCATTACTTCATTGTACCATAGTACAGCTTCGCTGGTCTTCCTTCTTCACCAGAGTGGAAAGGCTGAAAGTTTTTTAGGAGGGTTGTCAGATGCAGCGTGCTCGTAGCTGCAATTTGGATGCATGTGTAGGCGTATCAGCCACTTTTAAAGACCATATGTGCCCAAATGAGGAGTTCCATGCCATGATTATGAGACAACAGCTTACCTTCTACAAGGGTTCCAAACTCCATGCACCATGAACAGCTCTGGTATCCATTATACTGTTTCATATTTAGGAGCACTGCTCTTGCTGGAGAGTCAACGAAACAAAAAATGGTGTAGAGGAAAGAGTGAATCCTCTCGCTGCCATGGCACCAGGTGATGTGGCCAATGTTGTTGAACTCCTTGACAAAACTTTTGATGAGTAAGTGTAACGGTGGATGTTTCTTCGAAAACCAAAGTCCTCCAAGGAGTATATGCTGCCATCGAGTCATCACGGGAAGTTCGTTTACAGTCAGTTGGATTGGCCACATTGAATGTTTAGCCGACTTAAATGCCACTGCCCCATCCGTATTGAAGCTCATTGTGATGTCGCTCCATGATAAGGCAAGGCTTTGTCTTACTCGTTGGTACAGTTTGCCATCTGTAATGTCTGTGTAATGGCTGTGCAACGTTGATTGCCATTCCTTTAGACTCTTGTACAGTTCTTCACTTGTTTGTGCTATGACGCGCTGAAGCTGGCTGCGAATGTCAAATATAAAGTAAAAGGAACCGTTTGACACAAGTTGCCCAATGGTGAAGCTTTGGTGGCAAACCTCGCATTTCAATTTTTTGTCTCGCTTTGTGCTGAAGAAGCCTGCTCCTAAATAACTTGTACATGTTTTGCAGAAATAATGAAACTTGAGAAAACGGCTTTGCTTCAAGTTCCAGAGCTTTCGGAGCATGTACTTGGTGGCAGGAAGGACTTCACAACCGAAAAGACCGTTGACCAGTTTCAGCAGTCCGTCAACCTGGTTCCAGGAAAGTCTAGCAGCAACTACATAAGTCAGAATGAGTAGAATTGCTTGTGCTTTAGTTGTCTGCAAGTTGGGGAGTGTTTGGTCAGCAAATTTTTGCAAAAAAGACATGATGCTTTCCTCCTCATGCTCACCAGAGGAGTCGCTTTCCTCATCGTGC